CTGTTCAAGATGTCACAGCAAAATCTCCTATCACAGTGGGACATGAGAAGTAGGCCATAGCAGAAACAGCATAATGTCACCTACTGCCAGCGAACACAGAGGAAGTCTGTAAGGAATTAGAGCATGATTCCAAATATCACACACAGACACATACACACACTTCCTGCACTGACTGTCTCATATTCTATTCAAGCCGTGAAAGTCATGTTCAGTCCACACACAGAATCAGACACACACACACACACTTGTTGTGACAGCTTGTTATATTTGAGGTCATCAGGCCTATGGTGAATTGTAATTGATTTATGCTGATGTGCTGTTTGGCCATTTGTCTGCACTGAATCGAGCCTCTCTGTCCTGCTTTACCTTCACACACACACACACACACACACACACACACACACACACACACACACACACACACACACACACACACACACACACACACAAGTTTCCACTCAAAGAGCACCAAAATGATGCCCATCTTTTCCTCCACACTGTTTCATTTCCATATTCAGCACTGTGTGTGAACAGATAACTTATCATAGCCAAGCAATGGGAGCAGTGAGCTGTATGTTTACAATGTTGTATATTCACACAAACACAGTGTCCCTAAGCCCCTTATTCTCTGGCCTCAGCTAGAATATAAAGAAGGCCTGATTGGGACGGTGGACTCTCCAGGGCAAAAATGGAAAGAGTCCAACTACCACGACACTCAACACATTAGCTTCTTACTCACAAAAGACAGTGGACAGACTCCTAAACAAGCGAAGCCGATACATGCAAGGACACACTCGGACGCATACTGAAACACAGACGCACATCAAGTTTAATTTGGAGATTTATGAAGGTTTTAGTATTGCTCTGTATGAATATGTATGTGTTTAGAGGGCGTTCTAGCGCCGAGCATTTTCCTTTTCCAATCGCATCCACGATATAATGCCAGATAAATTTCTTCCCCCTGTAATTTGACTGTTGAAAACACCCAAGAGGCAGAATGAAAAATGAGAGACAGAACAGAGGCAAGCTCTCTACCCATCGAAGGTGGAGATATTAAAATGCACTCTCGCTCGGTGAAGGCTGTGATAAAAAAAATGTCATTTTTAGGGGGCATGGGCAATTATGATTAAAATCGCTCAAGGAGTCTGTGACTGTTTAACAGAGTGCCACTTGATGGGGGTATGTGTGAGTGTGTGCTCTTACGCATCTCATAAAATTTCGTTTTACAAAGATTTTGTTAAAGGAAAGAGCCGGGATGTAAAACAGGCATTTCCAGCCTTGTTTTGATGCGTTGTGCGTTTGGATGGAAATTCAAAGCACAAAGTGGACGTACCTTAGTAGGCAGTTAACACGGCAAAAAATTAGGTCCTAATATGAAAAATCCAGCAATGCATGAGTGTGCAAGAGAGGGGAAGGCTGAAGAAAAAATAACGAAATATTGTTGAAACAGAAAATAGAAATTTTGATTTAATAATACAGTCTGGCTAATGGGAAGTGCTGCACAGGACCCGCATATGACAAGACGCGTAACGGTTTGACTAACAAAAACAGAAAGTGACACAGAGCCAGAGGAAACCAAGAACTCAAGATAAAACTAGAAGGAACTAATCAGAGACCACATGATTCGTCACATTTAGACTGTTACCCGTGAACTTGACATCAACAGCTTTCATCACGAGAAGAAAAAAACTAAACCAACTAACTGATAGTCGACATGTTGCTGCTGCACTAACATCAAAGAAAACAATCCAAATAGTAAAGTTAACCATAAGCCTGAGCAGTTATGGTAACAGCTTAACAGTTTTTAGGGGTGGGGTGGGGGGGGGGGTCAATGCAAAAACAAGCCAGTTTGTCATTTTTTGTTTTAACACACAAAGTGGCGTGAGTTACAGCTGCACCACTGTTTTCATTTTTTGTTCTTATTTAACTACTAAATCAAATAAGTCTTATTAAGTACAAAAAACTAACAGTGAGAACGGCTGCATCATGGCTGAGTTAAAGTAAGCACATGATTCAAACTGGATCTGCTTTTAACCATTGTATAATTGGATGGAAACAACACTCTTTACTCTTGTTGAAAAAGTGACCAAAAGTTAGCTTCAGTAACTTCATGAGAATCTTAAGTGAGAGACATGGAGAGACCAAAATACAGGAAGCTGCAGTAACACATACGTGAAGTAATAAAGGCATGGACTGTTTCCAGGTCGTGCTAGTAGCTATTTTTTGACAAGAAATCAAATCAAAGCTTCAAGCCAAAGATAACACCCAGGCCTTTTGGATTAGATTTTAAAGACAAGGTGAGATGCTCATGTTTTGGCTCAATGTGGACTTAAAGAGCAGACTCAAACAACAATCAGCAGTTTTAAAAGGTTTATTGAGAGACTTGTATCCTTGTCTTTGTAACCAATTGGTGAGTGGTGGAAGAGGCTGGATATTTCACAGGGCAGCACTGAAAACTCTGCCAGAGAAAAGAGAGGATGTTAGCAACTGCCGTGGTGAGTTTGACAGAACATTGCTGATGAAGAATGCAGAACACAATATGTGGTTCCACTGGCTTACTCGTTTGTTTCCGGAACAGGTTTGGTAGGTTTGTAGCTTAAACCCATTCGATCACAAGTCTATTTAATTATTTTTCAACCTAACAAAACAAATTAACAAAACATAATGCTGATGCTTTGAACACTCTACACACATGAGTCAAGATACAGGACAAATGCTGCGCATCTGAAAGAAGAAGCTGAACTCACGGAAACGCTGCACACTCCAGTTATCATAGTTATCATAGTTTTGTTTCCCTCTCTTTGATGAGTTCTCAGCCAGCTCTCGATCTGATAATGTGTAGCTTGCTCATCAACTCAGAAGAGATTGCAATGCAACCTCACACAGTGGTTGCATGCTTTGCCCCACAGTGGCAAAGACTTGCACTTTCATATTCATATTCAATAAAGGTGTGCTCTATACTGTATGTCAGCAATGGCTCATATTAAGATGACAGTCTTTCAAACAGGTCAAGTGCCTCTATGCACGTAATTAGTTAAAATATTTACCTATTTTACTTCAGCTTATATGGCATTGTTCCAAATTTGAGCAACCCTAAGCTTAATGCAGATTACTTTCAACAACTGGTTAAATTAATGGTCTGGAGCACAGGCTGTTGTCGATCAGAGCAATCTGAAGAATCATCAAACCATTTTGTTTCAGCAAGGGGTTGGGGAAAGCCATTCACCAAAGCATATCTTAAGTGCTGCTGCTGTGGGCTGGCCTTCTACACAGCCTCTTTAAGGCTGCTGTGTTTTCTGAAAGCTTCCAACATTTTCCAGCAAGCAGTTTACACCCAAAATCATATTTTTTGTCCCAATATTCTAAATACTTCGCGCTGCCAAGAGCGAATTCCATCATAAACTTCTCGTCACCCTCTGACGCACTCTTGGTTGCTTGATAACAACAACAGCTGGCGTCATAGACCACGTGTTCTACTCCACACTCACTCACACAAACACAAACACCACAAATAGCAACAAAGAATAGGTCTATTGTCCAGCACAATCTGGACCCCGCGGAACTTCTCAATGTCCCACAAAGCGGCGGAGAACCCACTCAACTTCCCACAAAGCGGCGGAGAACTCACTTATCGCTCCACAAAGCAGCAAAAAACACCGTTCTTAGCCCCAAAAAGCGGCTAAGGAAGTACACACTCACACGGTTATAAAGTTGGACTCTCTGAACGTACTTGGTATGGCTTATTGCGTGTAGCATCAGTCCCTAAGCCCGCCGATCGTCATCCATCGAGGAGAAAAGACTAATCCAGCTAATCCACCGGCCCGATGACAAATTCTCACGTCTCGGGACTTTACTACAGGAACTTCCTGGCTGACGTCAGTCTTTCAGCATGTCTCTTTTCCCCTCGGTGAATGTCGACTCCAGGGCTCCGGCTGGAGGACCAATTAATGATAGGTTTGTAGCTTAAACCCATTCGCTGGAACGTTCAAGACAATTCAGCTACACGGCAAAAAGCATTACACACCAAGTAGGCAAAGTTCTTTGTGTTATTCTTATATGAGGGAGAGAACCACGACAAACCACGACAAAGACAAAGAATACCTTGTCTATGTGTGTGTGTGTGTGTGTGTGTGTGTGTGTGTGTGTGTGTGTGTGTGTGTGTGTGAGAGACCCCATAAATGACTTCTCTAAACCTGCTGGTCTGGAAGTCCAGCAGTTCATCTAAACAAAAGGCACTTAGCCTAAAACAGACATAGATATGTTTATCCTACCACAAAACAATAAGAGAAGGTACGACCTCTCCCATGCTCCCAGGATGTGGGTGTGAATGCCAGAGCACTCTGGAATGCACACAAAGTCTTTGCAGACTATTAAGGATCAAACCTCTACCAACATGACATTGATTATAACACTCTAAGCATATATGAGTAGATATTTCTAAGCATAAATGACAATCAACAATACAAACCTAACACAGTACAAGAAGGTACTCAGCTGGCAGGTGGGACTTCATTACTGAAGAGAGAGTGCAGGGGTCACGTGATGGCAGCGGGGTGAACGCACTGTTTTTTCGGAGTTCCGTGCCACTCAGCCTTAATTCCTTTATACTCCATGTTTTATAAGGCCACAGTCTTTTGACAATGTGGGTAAGCAGCGACCAAACAGAGAAAGAAAAGACACTCCGTCTGAACCAGGCGAAGCCCCTCAAGATGGCACCTGCTCTGACTCCAACCCTACTGTCGAATTGGACCCAGCCTTCGCCAATGCCTTTAACTTGATGATGGCTAATGTTGTTAAAGTAACTGACAAGAAACTTAGTCCTCTGACCAAGGCTGTTTCTAAGCTCGTGGTTGAACTCTAGTCGGCACACAAAGGGTGGGACGAAGCGGAAGCTAGGGTGCTAGCTGTGGAGAACGCTGATACTGCTCAGGAGCGCCGGATTACCAAGCTGGAAAATCAAGTCAACGCTCTCATGGAAAGATTGGATGCAGATCGTTGAGGTCTGAAGAGTCATAGCGAATCGAGGTGGTCGGATTTCTGCTACTCAGCCTGTGGTATCCTCGCGGAAGTATTGACGTGTACACAGCAGTTTACACGAGAAGTGGCTAGTTTAGCTAGCTAGGTAGAGCCGGGTAGTGTCACAGCGGCCGTATCAGAATGTCAGAAGGGGACAGTGCTGGGGAGTCAATCCATGGGAAAACTTCTGTTGTGGCTGCCTTTTTCACACGAGTTGGACAGGTCTATCAGTCATGGCTAGACAAGTCAACACCATTCTATGCAATGCGGTGGGCAGGAACTCTACTACTTACTCTTGTCTACATGATCAGAGTGTATCTACTACAGGGTTGGTATATAGTAACATATGCTTTGGGAATCTACCATCTCAACCTGTTCATTGCTTTTCTGTCGCCAAAAGTGGATCCCTCACTGCTTGAAGAAGATGAGGGCCCATCCCTTCCCACCAAGCAGAACGAGGAGTTCCGCCCTTTCATCAGGAGGTTGCCTGAATTCAAATTCTGGCATTCAGCGACAAAAGGCATCGTCATCGCCATGATTTGCACATTTTTTGATGCCTTCAATGTGCCAGTATTCTGGCCTATACTTGTAATGTACTTCATCATGCTCTTTTGCATCACCATGAAGAGGCAGATTAAA